GAAAAGAAGGATGTGCATACCAGACTTTCTAGCCCAAATTTGTCTGCACTTTTTTCCTATATTCTTCAATATTTTCGGAAATGAACCCTAATTGAGTCAATTTTCAGTTTTTACCCAACAAATTTGACTATTTTTGTCCCAATCTTCTGAAGGAAAGTGCAGACTATAAATGAGACTATTGTGAATTTGTGATGAAAAGAGGGAACTGGTGGTGAAAAGATTAAACAAAATTTAGGATCTAAAAAGAAACAGCAAGATAAGGTTGGAAAGAATACTGAGAGGAGGAAAGGACGAGGGGATAAAAGGTATTACCTTATGGTAGGGAGATTGACTAAGTTGACCATCTGTAAAATCTATCAGCCTGGGTTTATCATGTTTAGCTGTTGATACTGGATGAGTAGGATCAATGAGTTCTTGCTTTCCAAGATACATGAATGGTGGATGAAGAACTTCTAATTTCATTTCATTTTCTGTAAAATGAATATTGCTGACATAGCGGAATGGAACGTCAATATTAGCAACTTGCTTTACATTCTGTTCTGGCATCACACCATTCACCTCGATCTCGTACACAAATTTCCTGTAGAAAGTAAAGATGAACGTGTTTTTTTAATTATTCATAATTTCAGTAAGACTAACCTGTTGCTTGTATGTAATACAAGTATGTACAGGTACTTTTTGTATGTGTATTCTTTTTTCAACATTTGTTAAAGGGCGGTGGTCATCGCGCCGAGCATGTGCAACATTTGTGTTGATTTTCCCACAATCCAATGCACTCTTCTAATGGGAATCATGAGTATAAGTTTTGACCTGGGCGGGACGGGCACTAATTACCACTGGCGATTCTTTTGATACCTTCCAATCACAAAACAAGGAGCCTGTCGGCTGAGATACCTTCGTTGTTAGCAATGCACATTTCAATTAAGAACTGAAGGTATCATTAGAAAAAGAACAATATGTATAGTATCAAATCACTCAGAATTGCTGTTTTTAACAAAAAGTCAAAAATATCACTTTTCACCAAAAATAACAATAATATTCAATCAAAGAAAGCTTAGAAAAAACTCCCGTGTGCTGAGAGTTTTGGAGACACATTCAAAATTAATTCAAAATTACTTATACTTGAGATATTGATGGAATAGCTGAAAACTAATTATGCAAATAAGGTAACTAATATGAACAGATTTAAGTGTAAAACTAATAAGGTCTGCACAATGCACCAAGTTTCATTGAAATGTGATTAGAACCAAAAAAATATTAATTATTATGCTAATTAGAGAATTAATATGAACAGATTTTAACCCAAAATTAATCAGACTGTTTATTGTCCTAGAGCATTTATGTACCAAGTTTTATTCAAATGTGATGATCAATACTTGAGATATCAGTATTAATTAATTATGTTAATTAGGTGATTAAGAAGCATAAATATTTACCAAAAACTAATATGGTGCATAGTCTTAGGTTCATTGAAATGTGACAGGTACTCTTTAAAAGTTTCATTGAAATCCAATGAGTGGTTTTTAGACATCATAGAACAGCAAAAAATTAACTAATTATGCAAATTAGTAATTAATAGGCACAATTATTTATCCCAAAATTAATTATGTCTCTGCATAGTCCT